GTGTTGATCCGTTCTGTCCGTGTCCCCTTCTCTCCCATCCCCATCCTGCCTAGGGGCCATGAGGTAGGGTCCCTCTGAAGCCCTGTGAGACACACCGTGATCCCAGCGCACGGGACACAGCTGGGACTCAGCATCCTGATCTTTCACACTCTATTCCACACAGGGACACACCGCTACGTTCTGTCCCCCATCCAGACCTCATACTCTCCAGCCTGTCCATCTGTGTCTGCAGAGGAAGGTGCACCAGGGGACCTCTCTCTGTCTCATTCTTTCTCCCCCAGTCCACACAGGTATCCCAGAGGGGAACAAATACCACAGAGCTCAGTACCTCTCTGGAACTCTCTGTCATCGGATCTCTAGGTTCAGGACTCAACAATCTAATCATGATTAGATCACTTGGCCACAAATCATTTTCTAGCTGGGTCGTTCCAGGAGTTAAAAGCCTGTTATATTAAATTAAGTGCCCTTTAATATGAACCACATGGTTTTCACTATCATTGTAAAGCCCTAGTTATTTTGTTGCTTTGAGAAAGTAATTTCTTAAGATTCAAATCAAATTCTATTTGTCACATGCTTCGTTAACAACAATGCAGATTCTTATTTATTATGCAGATTCTTATTTATTTCATGTGATTAGTGAATTATTTACGCCTGTCCCTCATTTTAAGGTCAATCTTGTTACGTGAACTGAACACTTGTTTTAATATGGTTAAACTACTCCTTAAAAAAAAAAATTCAATAGAAACATTGAAGATATATTCAAATCATAGTGTAAAAGCAGGTGAGCTGCTTCTACTCTTTTTGGCCATTTTCTGGTGTTTAACAATAATGAAAAAGTGAAGCTTGCATTCAATTGCCCCTCCCTGTTGCACACCAGCTTCCATAGAGTGGTGAGGAGGAGCTCTGCGGACCCTTCGTGTCCAGAAGTAATTAAGCCATTAATTGTAGCCATTGGCGCTCTGTAGAGTTGCTATTTTCTCGAGTTTTCTCATGTCAATTAAATTGTGACATTCCTGGATTACTCATTCTACTAATAAAGTCAGATTTAATCAACAAATACGATAGTCAGTTAAAAAAAAGTTTAAGGGTACAAGACTGTGTACATATCTGGCTGTGTTGGCAAAATTACTACATTTCCCATCGAACCAAGTGGGGAGAGCCTGCCCGTTGTCATAGTTCCAAGATCAGTCAGAAACGTCCAGCTAACCCTACGCCAATGACGACGGTTAATGTCAAAACTGAACTTGGATCTGCGTTAAGTAGCAATGATATCCTTCGTCACCATTGTCTTACGATACAACAGATACTAGCGCGAACCAGTCATGACTATTCAACAAAACAATAAATCATTTCAAGTTTCTTTCCAGAGAATTTCTTAGCTACATGATTTTATAACTAACTAGCAAAGGAGTTTTGAAGTTGAGGGTGCAATTTATGAAGTTTGGCAATGTATTGGTCTTCACAAAGTTCGCTGCTTCAGTGTTATGAGATATTTTTGTCAGATGTTACTATGGTATACTGAAGTATAATTACAAGCATTCCATAAGTGTCAAAGGCTTTTATTGACAATTACTTTAAGTTTATGCAAAGAGTCAATATTTGCAGTGTTGACCCTTCTTTTTCAAGACCTCTGCAATCCGCCCTGGCATGCTGTCAATTCACTTCTGGGCCACATCCTGACTGATGGCAGCCCATTCTTGTATAATCAATGCTTGGAGTTTGTCAGAATTTGTGGGTTTTTGTTTGTCCACCCGCCTCTTGAGGATCGACCACAAGTTCTCAATGGGATTAAGGTCTGGGGAGTTTCCTGGCCATGGACCCAAAATGTCGATGTTTTGTTCCCCGAGCCACTTAGTTATCACTTTTTCCTTATGGCAAGGTGCTCCATAATGCTGGAAAAGGCATTGGTTGTCATCAAACTGTTCTTGGATGGTTGGGAGAAGTTGCTCTCGGAGGATGTGTTGGTACCAGTCTTTATTCATGGCTGTGTTCTTAGGCAAAATTGTGAGTGAGCCATCTCCCTTGGCTGAGAAGCAACCCCACACATGAATGGTCTCAGGATGCTTTACTGTTGGCATGACACAGGACTGATGGTAGCGCTCACCTTGTCTTCTCCAGACAAGGTGTTTTCCGGATGCCCAAAACAATCGGAAAGGGGATTCATCAGAGAAAATGACTTTACCCCAGTCCTCAGCAGTCCAATCCCTGTACCTTTTGCAGAATATCAGTCTTCCCTGATGTTTTTCCTGGAGAGAAGTGGCTTCTTTGCTGCCCTTCTTGACACCAGGCCATCCTCCAAAAGTCTTTGCCTCACTTTGCGTGCAGATGCACTCACACCTGCCTGCTGCCATTCCTGAGCAAGCTCTGCACTGGTGGTACCCCGATCCCGCAGCTGAATCAACTTTAGGAGACGGTCCTGGCGCTTTCTGGACTTTCGTGGGCGCCCTGTCGCCTTCTTCACAACAATTGAACCTCTCTCCTTGAAGTTCTTGATGATCCAATAAATGGTTGATTTAGGTGCAATCTTACTAGCAGCAATATCTTTGCCTGGCGAATCCCTTTTTGTGCAAAGCAATGATGATGGCACGTGTTTCCTTGCAGGTAACCATGGTTAACAGAGGAAGAACAATGATTTCAAGCACCACCCTCCTTTTAAAGCTTCCAGTCTGTTATTCTAACTCAATCAGCATGACAGAGTGATCCCCAGCCTTGTCCTCGTCAACACTCTCACCTGTGTTAACGAGAGAATCACTGACATGATGTCAGCTGGTCCTTTTGTGGCAGGGCTGAAATGCAATGGAAGTGTTTTTGGGGGATTAAGTTCATTTTCATGGCAAAGAGGGACTTTGTAATTAATTGCAATTCATCTGATCACTCTTCATGACATTCTGGAGTATATGCAAATTGCCATCATCAAAACTGAGGCAGCAGACTTTGTGAAAATTATTATTTGTGTCATTCTCAAAACATTTGACCACGAGTGTAGACGAAAACTAGCATGGTTCAGTTAGCCAGGGAAATCTGGGAAAAACAAGCTTGGGACAGGATATAGCTGGGCGCTAATTCAGGTCAGAGATTCTAGTTTTTATGCCCTGATATCAGGAGCAGGCAGCGAACATTTTGATTAAACAATTCAGTGACTGAAACGAATACATCAGATGACAAATACTTAAGTAGAGCAAATCGATATACAATCCTGAAATCAGCTGTAACTGTCAATAGTAAAACAAAGCTTAAAATTATGTTTGAGAGAACCTGAATCCAGAAAATGAATGACGACTCCTCACCACTCTATTCCCCCTGTCACAAAGGGATTTATCGCTGATTTAAGATGAAATTGTCAACCCTGTTACCGTCAATCCTGTTGTTTTTTTTGTGTTTTTTTCTTGAAATGGGAAAACATATAAAAAATTTAAGTTGAACATGTGTTCTTTATGACTGAATGTTAAAATTAGGTGAAATAAAACATTTTTAAAAAGCAAAACAGATGACCTTACCCAAAAGGCACTCTATTGATGGAATGACCCAGCTGTTATGCTTTTTGCTATGGTAGGCTCTGCTGTACACACTCCACATACATGCTTGTGTACAGTATACAGATACTGTACGCACATAATGTTGGAGAGCATTACTTAATAAATCCATTGACCAATCTTCAATAAATACTGTAAAACTTTAATTTATAGCCCGGGCATTTATCTGCTTCAATCACTGAACACAACCAGCGCTTATTGGAGACAGGTTTCTCTTTGAGACAGGTTTCCCTTTGAGCTAGGTGTCTATTTCCTTCAAGTGATACTTCAGGATTTTGGCAATGAGGATAGTATTTTTATATCGCTGCGTCTAGTATGAAGGAAGTTAGAGGTAGTTTTATTAGCCAATTCTAACTAGCATTAGCGCAATGACTGGAACTAGCATGCTAGGTGTTACCATAGACGTCCAGTCATTGCACTAACGCTAGTTAGCAACTGTGCTCTAACGCTAGTTATCAACTTCCTTCAAACTGCACGAAGAGACATAAACTTCATTGCCAAAATCCCGAAGTATCCCTTTAATTCACATAGCATTTTGCTCTATAACATTTTGAAAAGACTACCACACTGTTGTGACCAGTATGACCAGTGTAAACATTATATTAACAAATCCATCGCTGATCAGACTTGCAAAGACTAGACTGCCTGTCATACACCCCCCAATTTCACGCTTCAGCAACATGGAGAGCATTATTTGATATTGTGTTGTCTTTTTGGTGGCGCCATTGCTAGGATTTTTTATTTTTTTATGCACATGACCGTGGGAATATCAGAGCTGTGTACACGGTAACCTCGTAAACAATTCATTTAGACCCCGCGTTTATTTGAAACAGATGTTTATTTGCTGAAATGGATGGCGATGCCCGTCTATTAAAAGGGACAGGAGGCTATTTGAGACTCTGCATTTAATTGAAGTTTTATGGTAGGTATAGTAATGTGGAAATAAAATGATCATAACACACATCTATAATCCCAGCAGTGACACACAACGGAGATAGATAGAGTTGTTTACTGAATGAGGTTTGCTCTATGCTAATTGTCATTAAGTAGCCAATTTCAAGTGTGTTATCAGTATAAATCCGTCCCACCTAATTTATTTCAATCCGTCATTTTGCCGGGATGTGATCTCCTCTGAGCCTTTGTTCTCCTCTGGAACAGATTTCTCAGTCCCATGAAAGAGAGCTGCTTCTTTTATCAGAGTTAAAAACAAGCGATCAAAGGGATTTGATATCTGTTTAGAAAAGATTAAATGAGCCAAACTCACGACTTTAAGGACAGGAAATACACAAGTATAAATAACAACCAAGGGATCAGTTTTGTGTGTCTTCAACCTCAGTTTGTAAAGTAGATATACGCTGTATGTTAGGCAGTGTGTTGAGGTTGTGTGGTTAATTTTTGGAAAAGTAGTGATGTACTGTGAAACTCAAAAATAGCAAAAACGTGTGACTTTGTTTACTAAATCAAAGTCTATGTGACTTGATAACTCACCCTGTAGTCGCTGGCCGTGACGTAAAAGATGGGCTGGAAGGCCAGCCAGATGATACAGGTGGTGTACATGGTGAACCCAATGAACTTCGCCTCGTTGAAGTTCTCTGGGCACTTCCTGGTTTTAAAGGCGTAGACAGTGCAGAGGATGATGAGAATGCAGTTGTAGGTGAGGGATATGAGCATACTGGAGTCCTTGCTGTTGCACTTGAGGGTGACTATGTCCCTCCTCTCGGGGTTCACTTCCTTCCTGACCCCCGGGGCCTCCACCAGGAGCCAGACCATAACCACCACCAGCTGGCAGGAGATCAGACCCCCGCAGATGGCCACCTGGGAGGCAGGGCTGATGAACCTCGGCCGCTGGGCTCCGTCCTTCACCCCGCTGAAGATGCGTGCAATGCGATTGGTCTTGGTGAGAAGCGCAGAGTAGCACACAGCGAAGGAGGTGCCCAAGCCTAGTCGACGTAGGGTACACACAGCCATGGAGGGCTTGGAGATATAGATGAAGGTCATGCTGTAGCACATCAGAACACCCAGCAGGAGGATGTAGGACAGCTCCCGCCCGCTTGCCTTCACCACAGGGGTGTCGTTGTGCTTGAGGAAGAGGCCGATGATGAAGAGTGTACACATCATGCCCAGGCAGGAGATGGTAACAGGGCCTATAGCCCAGGCATCCTCCCAGCGGATGTACTCCTCGGGCAGGTTATAGCAGCCCGTCAGGTTGGCCAGGGGCCATTCGCTGAACTTGCAATCGGCGCAGGTGAGCTCGTCCTTCAAGTACTGGTAGGGCTGGCAGGGGATGCAGATCCAGCAGCACACGTCTCCAGGCTGCATGCTCTTCACCTCGTTCTTCCTGCAGGGGTCGCTGCATTGGGAGGTGGGTGCGGCATGGCCCTCCCAGGGGATCTGGCTGGTATTGAGGGTCAGATTCTGGGCCCAGTAGCCCACCTTACGGTAGACGTAGCGTCCGTCCTCTTTATGATAGTGAAAGATGTTGTAGCGGCCTAGGCTGTCTCCAAAGGTATCGAACCTCACCATGTTCTCTGTGTCTGCTGGACGGAATGGAGCTGCAGGGTGAGAAAGAGAAGACCATGGTCATGTTGTGATGGTTGAAAGTCAAATAAGCAAATTAATGTTGATCCTTAACAATACACTATATAATTAACACTGAACTCTGACTCGTATTTTGAATTGATTGTGTTATTATTTCCTAGCATTATGTGTACAATGAATCCAGGGTCTTGGAGTCGACATGTTTTGATTGAATGAGCTTGTATCTGCTTCATCACTTCACCTCTCTGTATCTCCCCTCTGACATTCCATTCCTTTCACAACAGTAACTGATGCATCGGGGACACAGGTGCAAACCCAGCATTTACATAATTGAAGCCAGAAAGTTGAGTCTGTTTTCTTTGACACAGGCTTAATGCACTCGAATGAGAACCTCAGGAGAGGTTTAAACGTGTTTTTTACTATTCAGGTGCCAACAACTATGGGTGTACAACAGATTCATTCAACACCATGGAATAAACAGTTACTATACAATCACTTGGTACCATGTCAAAAAGATTGAACATTTATCTTAACATCAATCCATTTGTAATGTCTAACTATGGAATAATACATTCTTAATGTCTAACTATGGAATAACAATTTGCAAGCCATGGATAGAAATACCAATGCATTTATAGCTAGAAAGTAAACAGAGCAAAATGACTGACTTGCAACTGGACAGTTGAGATTTTTTTAGATTATTTTAACCATTCTCAGCTGAATAGCCCCATTATTCTCCATAGAGAATCATCTAGTCTCTTTTGAACTAGAGGAAATGGGGCTTTGTAATGGATGAAGGATCACTTGTGACCCTGCTGTACTGCCATCTCCCCAAAGATCTCCATACACTTCAGGCTATCAGGCGATTCTAGTCTTGTAATCCAATCTGATGTCTTCTGACATGGACGGCTGAGATGGATAGCTTGGCTAGAGCAACCCTCATGGACTTTGAACCCCACCACCATCACTCATGCATGAAAATATTCCCGCCTTTTACTCCATCACTACCTTAAGACTTGGAGACATACAGCTACTCATTCAAGGGTTTAGTAGTTAGATCATTTGGCTTGGTGGGGTTGTTGTTCTTTGTGTTGTACAGATGTGCTGATGCTATAGGGTTTTACATAAATTATCTGTTACACTGACTATCTCTGGTCACCACCTGACTGAAAATGCTGTTTCCTGATGAGGGTGTTTATGTGATTCCTATCTGTAATATTCAGGCTGTAGTCCAAGTCACTCTCCACCCACTCCAGGCAGATGAGATGCGTGACAAAATGAGCCTCAGCGTGTGAGGCTGGAAATTGATGTTTCATCTTTGCAAATTGAATCATTACAAGCTCTTATCTTCAGCAGATATATAAAAACAACTAGAATTAGTCCTGGACTGTTCCCACGTACTGTAGGAAGGTAGGAATTGATACAATGGATCTAAATGTATGTAATCAAATTTGTCAGCAAGCAGGGCACTCATTGGCAGATTATGATTGCAGTATATCATGCAGTGCAGTTTTCATTTTCAACTTTATGTGTCGAGAGGCTAATAGCAGACAAAGGGATAATATAGATGAAAGTGACTTTAGTCATAAACCAAAAATCAAGTACAAAAAAAACTGTTGAATGTGGTCTATTTGTTCTCTGGCAATATGTCAGGTGTCAATGTGCAGCGGTAGGACGGAGTCAGGCGCAGGACACAGAACTGAGTAACAGACAAATCTAATTTCCACGCAGGGAAATACATAAGCTCACAGCAGACAAACACCAAACAACGAACAATCACGCACAACACCATGAGGGAACCAGAGGGTTAAATAGGGAAACAAATTAACGTGATGGGAACCAGGTGTGTACAATACAGACAAAACAAATGGAAAACAGAAACGTAGATCGGTGGCAGCTAGAAAGCCGGTGACGACGACCGCCGAACGCCACCCGAACAAGGAGAGGCACCAACTTCGGCGGAAGTCGTGACACAATATTCTCATGGAAAATCACTTCTTAGGATATAGCCTTTTCTGAGAATATATAGAAAATCACATTTCTCTGTATACATGGAACAGGATTTCTGCCACTGCATAAATATTTATTCAACGTTTATGTACTCCGACTGGTTCGTTGAATTTACATATCAACAAGGTGTTATGCCATTGGTCATGCTTGCAGATAGGGGGAAATTGCGGACATCAATTCTTCCCAGTCTGATAATTCTATCCAAGTGGTAGGTCACGTTCTGAAATAGTGCATTCTATTTACGTATTTACAATGTGTAAGAGTTCACTGTGTACATTTCCTATATATACACTACCAGTCAAAAGTTTGGACACACCTACTCATTCAAGGGTTTTGCTTTATTTTAAATATTTTCTACATTGTAGAAAATTTGTGAAGACATCGAAATTATGAAATAACACATATGGAATTATGTAGTAACCAAAAAAGTGTTAAACAAATCAAAATATATTTGATATTTGAGATTCTTCAAATAGCCAACCTTTGCCTTGATGACAGCTTTGCACACTCTTGGCATTCTCTCAACCAGCTTCATGAGGAAGTCACCTGGAATGCATTTCAATTAACAGGTGTGCCCTCTTAAAAGTTAATTTGTTTGAGCCATTCAGTTGTGTTGTGACAAGATAGGGACAGAAAAAAGACAGAAAAAAGCCCTATTTCGTAAAAGACCAAGTCCATATTATGGCAAGAACAGCTCAAATAAGCAAAGAGAAACAACAGTCCATCATTACTTTAAGACATGAAGGTCAGTCAATACTAAAAATGTCAAGAACTTTGAAAGTTTCTTCAAGTGCAGTCGCAAAAACCATCAAGCGATATGATGAAACTGGCTCTCATGAGCACTGCCACAGGAATGGAAGACCCAGAGTTACCTCTGCTGCACAGGATAAGTTCATTAAAGTTACCAGCCTCAGAAATTGCAGCCTAAATAAATGCTTCACAGAGTTCAAGACACAGTGTCACACCCTGACTTATGGGACTCTTGTATGTTGAGTCAGGGTGTGGAGATCTATGTTGTATATTCTATGTTTAGTTCTAGTTGTTCTACTTCTATGTTTGGCCGGGTGTGATTCCCAATCAGAGGCAGCTGTCGCTCGTTGTCTCTGATTGGGGATCATACTTAAATAGCCTGTTTGTTATCATTAGTTGTGGGATCTTGTTCCGTGTAGAGGCTTGTTTTTGTGTTTAGCCTGGTAACTTCACGTTACGTTGTTTTGTTGTTTTGTTCGTGTGTTTATCTTTATAATAAACATGTATGCATTTCACGCTGCGCCTTGGTCTGACCCGTCCTTCAACGAACGTGACAGAAGATCCCACCAAACACGGATCAAGCAGCGTGCCCAGGAGCAAACACCCTGGACACAGGTGGGGAAGATTTGGTCTTGGGAGGAGATATTTGCGGGAAAAGGACCCTGGGCGAAGCCCAGGCAGGAGAGGAGCAACGGCAACACAGAAGGCGCCGGCTGAGGAGGAAGCCCGAGAGGCAGCCCCAATAACATTTTGGGGGGGGGCTAAAGGAGTGGTCGGGGAGCGAGACAGAAGAGCCCCGACCACTGCACCCGGTGGGTTTCCAGGTTGAGTCCCTACGACCATGGGAAGAAGAGTGGGAACAGTTTTATACTGAGGAGTCGGAGGATGACGACAACGATGAGTTTCTGTTCCCTAACTCGTGGGGGCTCCCGGAGGAGTCCTCACTGGAGGAGGAGTGCCGAGAGAGAGAGAAGGATCGGATCTGCAGGGTAAGAGAGGAGGCCACCACATTACGGGGGCTGATAGCAAGAATAGAGCGGGAGAGCTCCATTCAAGAGGAGGCACTGCAGGAGGCTCGTAGGGAAAAGGAGGAAGTAGATGCATGGAGAGAGGAGCTGGTTAGGCAACATAAGGAGCGTGGGTTAATATAGGAACCCATGTATGCGGAGATACGCACTGTATCGCCAGTGCGCATGCACAGCCCAGTGCGTTCTGTGCCAGCGCCCCGCACGTGTCGTGCGAAAGTGGGCAGCCAGCCAGGACGGGCTGTGCCGGCTCAATGCTCCTGGTCTCCAGTGCACCGCACCAGTCCTGTACGGCCCGTACCTGCTCCTCGCACCAAGCCAGTGGTGTGTGTCCCCAGTCCAGCCCAGCCCGTATCTGCTCCTCGCACCAAGCCAGTGGTGTGTGTCCCCAGTCCGGCCCGGCCCGTTCCTGCTCCTCGCACCAGGCCAGTGGTGCGTGTCGCCAGTCAGGCCTGGCCCGTCCCTGCTCCTCGCACCAAACCAGTGGTGCGTGTCGCCAGCCCGGTACGCCCCGTACCTGCTCCCCGCACCAAGCCAGTGGTGCGTATTCCCAGTCCAGTACGGCCTGTCCCTGCTCCTCGCACCAAACCAGTGGTGCGTGTTGCCAGCCCGGCCCGGCCCATTCCTGCTCCTCGCACCAGACCTGTGGTGCGTGTCTCCAGTCCGGCCCGGCCCGTTCCTGCTCCTCGCACCAGACCTGTGGTGCATGTTCCCAGTCCGGCCCGGCCCGTTCCTGCTCCTCGCACCAGACCAGTGGTGCGTGTTCCCGGCCCGGCCCGTTCCTGTTCCTTGCACCAGGCCAGTGGTGCGTGTTCCAAGTCCGGTACGGCCCGTTCCTGTTCCTCGCACCAAGCCAGTGGTGTGTGTCTCCAGTCCGGCCCGGCCTGTTCCTGCTCCTCGCACCAGACCAGTGGTGCGTGTTCCCAGTCCGGCCCGGCCCGTTCCTTCTCCTCGCACCAGACCTGTGGTGCGTGTCTCCGGCCCGGCCCGTTCCTGCTCCTCGCACCAGAACAGTGGTGCGTGTTCCCAGTCCGGCCCGGCCCGTGCCTTCTCCCCGCACCAAGCCAGTGGTGCGTGTCGCCAGTCCGGCCCGGCCCGTTCCTGCTCCTCGCACCAAGCCAGTGGTGCGTGTTCCTAGTCCGGTCCGGCCCGTGCCTGCTCCTCGCACCAGACCAGTGGTGCGTGTGTCCAGTCCAGCACGGCCCGTGCCCGTTCCACTGCTCCACTCCGGAGCCAGAGCAGTCCGCTCCACCGGTGCCTGATCCAGCTCCGGTCGGTTGCTCCACTCCGGAGCCAGAGCAGTCCGCTCCACCGGTGCCCAGTCCAGCTCCGGTCAGCAGTTCCACTCCGGAGCCAGAGCATTCCGCTCCACCGGGGTCCAGTCCAGCTCCGGTCAGCGGCTCCAGTCCAGACCCAGACGTCAGCCCCTCTCCAGGTTTGGGGTCTCCCACACCAGGGCCCAGACAGGGCTTGGTGCATCGTGGGAGGAAGGAGAGGGGAAGCAGCGCGCCGAGGTCCAGACCTGACCAGGGGCGCAACGGGGAGGCTGAGAGAATGTGGTCGTCAGGCCCGGAGCCGGATCCAGCTCCGATGCGGAATGCCCACCCGGACCCTACCCTGTTATGTCAGGTTTGTGCGGTCGGAGTCCGCACCTTTGGGGGGGGGGGGGGGGGGTACTGTCACACCCTGACTTATGGGACTCTTGTATGTTGAGTCAGGGTGTGGAGATCTATGTTGTATATTCTATGTTTAGTTCTAGTTGTTCTACTTCTATGTTTGGCCGGGTGTGATTCCCAATCATAGGCAGCTGTCGCTCGTTGTCTCTGATTGGGGATCATACTTAAGTAGTCTGTTTGTTATCATTAGTTGTGGGATCTTGTTCCGTTTAGAGGCTTGTTTTTGTGTTTAGCCTGAGGACTTCACGTTACGTTGTTTTGTTCGTGTGTTTATCTTTATAATAAACATGTATGCATTTCACGCTGCGCCTTGGTCTGATTCACCTGCGTGAATCAGGCCTTCATGGTCAAATTTCTGCAAAGAAACCACTACTAAAGGACACCAATAAGAAGAAGAGACTTGCTTGGGCCAAGAAACATGAGCAATGGACATTAGACCGGTGGAAATTTGTCCTTTGGTCTGATGAGTCCAAATTGGAGATTTTTGGTTCTAACCGCCATGTCTTTGTGAGACACGGTGTGGGTGAACGGATGATCTCCGCATGTGTAGTTCCCACCGTAATGCATGGAGGAGGAGGTTTTATGGTGTGGGGGTGCTTTGCTGGTGACACTGTTGGTGATTTATTTAGAATTCAAGGCACACTTAACAAGCATGGCTACCACAGCATTCTGCAACGATACGCCATCCCATCTGGTTTGGGCTTAGTGAGACTATCATTTGTTTTTCAACTGGACAATGACCCAATACACCTCCAGTCTGTGTAAGGGCTATTTTACCAAGAAGGAGAGTGATGGAGTGCTGCATCAGATGACCTGGTTAATTTGTTAATTATTCCCCGACCTCAACCCAATTGAGATGGTTAGGGATGAGTCGGACGGCAGAGTGAAGGAAAAGCAGCCAACAAGTGCTCAACATATATTGGTACTCCTTCAAGACTGTTGGAAAAGCATTCCAGGTGAAGCTGGTTGAAAGAATGCCAAGAGTGTGCAAAGCTGTCATCAAGGCAAAGGGTGGCTATTTGAAGAATCTCAAATATAAAATATACTTTGATTTGTTTAAAAAAACGAATTGGTTACTACATGATTCCATATGTGTTATTTCATAGTGTTGATGTCTTCACTATTATTCTACAATGTAGAGAATAGTCAAAATAAGAAAAACCCTTGAATGAGTAGGTGTGTCCAAACTTTTGACTGGTACCGCATACGTATACAGTGCATTCGGAAAGTATTCAGAACACCTGACTTTTTCCACATTTTGTCCACCTTATTCTAAAATTGATTTTTTTTATTTATAATCCACATCAATTTATACACAATACCCCATATTTACATAAGTATTCAGACCCTTTGCTGTGAGACTCGAAATTGAGCTCAAGTGCATCCTGTTTCTACTGATCATCCTTGAGATGTTTCTACAACTTGATTGGAGTCCACCTGTGGTAAATTCAATTGATTTGACATTATTTGGAAAGGCACACACCTGTCTATTTAAGGTCCCACAGTTAACAGTGCATGTCAGAGCAAAACCAAAGCCAAGAGGTCGATGGGAATTTTCCGTAGAGATCAAAGACACAATTGTGTCAAGGCACAGATCTGGGGAAGGGTACCAAAACATTTCTGCAGCATTGAAGGTCCCCAAGAACACAGTGGCCTCCATCATTCTTAAATGGAAGAAGTTTGGAACCACCAAGACTCTTCCTAGAGCTGGCCGCCCAGCCAAACTGAGCAATCGGGGGAGAAGGGCCTTGGTCAGGGAGGTGACCAAGAACCTGATGGTCACTCTGACAGAGCTCCAGAGTTCCTCTGTGGAGATGGCAGAACCTTCCAGAAGGACAACCATCTCTGCAGCACTCCACCAATCAGGCCTTTATGGTAGATTGGCCAGACGGAACCACTCCTCAGTAAAAGGCACATGGCTTCCCGCTTGGAGTGTGCCAAAAGGCACGTAAAGGACTCTCAGACCATGAGAAACAAGATTATCTGGTCTGATGAAACCAAGATTGAACTCTTTGGCCTGAATGACAAGCATCACGTCTGGAGGAAACCTGGCACCATCCCTACGGTGAAGCATGGTGGTGGCTGCATCATGCTGTGGGGATGTTTTTCAGCGGCAGGGACTGGGAGACTAGTCAGGATCGAGGGAAAGATGAACGGAGCAAAGTACAGAGCGATCCTTTATGAAAACCTGCTCCAGAGCGCTCACAACCTCAGACTGGGGCGAAGGTTCACCTTCCAACAGATCAACGACCCTAAGCACACACCCAAGACAACTCAGGAGTGGCTTCGGTACAAGTCTCTGAAAGTCCTTGAGTGGCCCAACCAGAGCCCGGACTTGAACCTGAACGAACATCTCTGGAGAGACCTGAAATTAGCTGCGTAGTGACGCTCCCCATCCAACCTGACAGAGCTTGAGAGGACCTGCAGAGATGAATGGGAGAAACTCCCCAAATACAGGTGTGCCAAGCTTGTAGCATCATACCTAAGAAGTCTCAAGGCTGTAATTACTGCCAAAGGTGCATAAAGGGTCTGAATATTTATATAAATATGATATTTCAGTTTTTTATTTTGTATTAATTTACAAAAAAAAATTAAACACCTGCTTTGCTTTGCATAGGTTATTGTGTGTAGATTGATTAGGGAAAAAACAAATGTAATCAATTTTAGAATAAGGCTGTAACGTAACAAAATGTGGAAAAAGTCAAGGGGTCTGAATACCTTCCGAATGCACTGTACATGTGTACGGTACCTGTTAGATATTGGGGGCTTCCTGTGATGTGCTTATGTATGATTGCTGCACAAGCGAGTTAGCTAGCATGCTTGAAATATAATGGTCGCTTTAGCCCCTGCTAATACACAGTCGTTTCCATGTTGTAGACAAATCTACAGCCATCAACAGACTTCGGTCCTGCACATCTAATGTGTTTTATTTTTGTCTATTGTCAGAGAATTAACCACAGATCAACTGGGACCATTGGCTGGCATTCCTTTCTTTAAAAACACAATGCAAGAGAGTTAATGATCATATGTTACATATAGTCATGTAACCTTGTCATGTAGCCATACTCATCAATCTTTTCAACTCACCGTCAAACTTGGTCTTCAGGATATACTCCCTGTAGAATCTCCTGCCGTTGCCTGGCTTCAGAGCGTCACAGATCTTGGTAGTGGAGTTGGGGCACAGCGCCTGCCTCATGTTGTGCAGGGCATGGGCCATGGCATAGACAGCATTCACCACAAACATGATCTTGGACTCCTGCTCAAACAGGCCATCCCGCAGAGAGTGCTTCCCACAGCCCAGGTCATGGAGGCTACATTGGAAGCGATTCTCCCAGAACTCCCTGAACCAGGGGTTACGTGTGTTGTTGTAGGGATTCAGTCCCATGAAGTACTCAGCAAACTGGGGGATTGGGTAGGAGGCCAGCTCAATGGTGAAGGCCCCGTCCGCCACAGCCTCGCTGCCCCTCACCACGATCTCCTGCGCCCCCCAGCCATCGCTGGCCACCCAGGTGAAGGATGCGTTCAATCGGTTGGCAGCCACCAGCAGCTCGTGGGCATCCTCGCTGCGTGTGAAAAGGATGACCACCTTGGCGTTGGACTTCTGCTGCAGCGAGCGGATCACCTGGTCATAGCTGTAGCGGCTCATCGAGCGGCTGACCTTGGCTGAGGTGGCGATGCAGATCTGGCTGGCGCGGGCCTCCTGCTGGAAGGCGTCGATGCCCGTCTCGCCGTAGTCGCCCTCCGATGCCACGGTTGACACATAGGTCCAGTTGAAGAAGCGCAGGATCTCTGCCATAGCCTTGGCCTGGTAGAAGTCAGGGGGCACCGTGCGGGCAAAGTAGTCATAGCGGCTCTTGTCGCTGAGCTTGGCGCTGGTGGAGGCGTAGCTGATCTGAGGGATCTGGAAGAGACGAAGGAGGTTGGCCACCTGGAGAGAAAGAGAGAGAGGTACTATGAGAGCATGATCAAGATTTGAACAATACTGTAGGGGCTCTATTCGATATATATATACACACATATACACTTACATGCATACACATACATTACGGTTCAGAAGTTTGTGGTCACTTAGAAATGTCCTTGTTTTCGAAAGAAAATCAATTTTTTTGTCCATTAAAATAACATCAAATTGATCAGAAATACAGTGTAGACATTGTTAATGTTGTAAATGGCTATTGTAGCTGGAAACGGCTGATTTTTAATGGAATATCTGCATAGGCGTACAGAGGCCCATTATCAGCAACCATCAGTCCTGTGTTCCAATGGCATGTTGTGTTTGCTAATCATTTTTTAAAAACATTTTAGCAGACGCTCTTATCCAGTGCATACATTAGCCTTGATTCGAACCAGGATCTCTAGCGGCACAGCTAGCACTGCAATGCAGTGCCTTAGACCACTGCGCCACTCGGGAGACAATCCAAGTTTATCATTTTAAATGGCTAATTGATCATTAGAAAACCCTTTTGCAATTATGTTAGCACAGCTGAAAACTGTTGTGCTGATTAAAGAAGCAATAAAACTGGCATCCTGGAGACTAGTTGAGTATCTGGAGCATCAGCAATTGTGGGTTCGATTACAGGCTCAAAATGTCCAGAAACAAAGAACTTATATGGGATGGCTGTCAATCCTTTGGTCCTTAAATGAAACGTTTTCCCCTTTCCACTTTCCTCTTCCATTTTTGCGGTAATGCTGCAATTATTTGGTTGTAATTTTGGGTAGTGCAGACATTTCCATATGTTTTTGTTAGCTGCATGTGCGACAACTCTACCAGTCCTATGATATCATTTACGAAGATTATATATATATTTTTTTTATTATTCAAAAACTAATTTTTATCAATTAGTACAGTGAGGGAAAAAAGTATTTGATCCCCTGCTGATTTTGTACGTTTGCCCACTGACAAAGAAATGATCAGTCTATAATTTTAATGGTAGGTTTATTTGAACAGTGAGAGACAGAATAACAACAAAAAAATCCAGAAAAACGCATGTCAAAAATGTTATAAATTGATTTGCATTTTAATGAGGGAAATAAGTATTTGACCCCCTCTCAATCAGAAAGATTTCTGGCTCCCAGGTGTCTTTTATACAGGTAACGAGCTGAGATTAGGAGCACACTCTTAAAGGGAGTGCTCCTAATCTCAGTTTGTTACCTGTATAAAAGACAACTGTCCACAGAAGCAATCAATCAATCAGATAACAAACTCTCCACCATGGCCAAGACCAAAGAGCTCTCCAAGGATGTCAGGGACAAGATTGTAGACCTACACAAGGCTGGAATGGGCTACAAGACCATCGCCAAGCAGCTTGGTGAGAAGGTGACAACAGTTGGTGCGATTATTCGCAAATGGAAGAAACACAAAATAAATGTCAATCTCCCTCGGCCTGGGGCTCCATGCAAGATCTCACCTTGTGGAGTTGCAATGATCATGAGAACGGTGAGGAATCAGCCCAGAACTACACGGGAGGATCTTGTCAATGATCTTAAAGCAGCTGGGACCATAGTCACCAAGAAAACAATTGGTAACACACTACGCCATGAAGGACTGAAATCCTGCAGCGCCCGCAAGGTCCCCCTGCTCAAGACAGCACATATACAGGGCCATCTGAAGTTTGCCAATGAACATCTGAATGATTCAGAGGAGAACTGGGTGAAAGTGTTGTGGTCAGATGAGACCAAAATCGAATGGAGGAATGCTGCCTATGACCCCAAGAACACCATCCCCACCGTAAAACATGGAGGTGGAAACATTATGCTTTGAGGGTGTTTTTCTGCTAAGGGGACAGGACAACTTCACCTCATCAAAGGGACGATGGACGGGGCCATGTACCGTCAAATCTTGGGTGAGAACCTCCTTCCTTCAGCCAGGGCATTGAAAATGGGTCGTGGATGGGTATTCCAGCATGACAATGACCCAAAACACACGGCATAGGCAACAAAGGAGTGGCTCAAGAAGAAGCACATTAAGGTCCTGGAGTGGCCTAGCCAGTCTCCAGACCTTAATCCCATAGAAAATCTGTGGAGGGAGCTGAAGGTTCGAGTTGCCAAACGTCAGCCTCGAAACCTTAATGACTTGGAGAAGATCTGCAAAGAGGAGTGGAACAAAATCCCTCCTGAGATGTGTGCAAACCTGTTGGCCAACAAGAAACATCTGACCTCTGTGATTGCCAACAAGGGTTTTGCCACCAAGTACTAAGTCATGTTTTGCAGAGGGGTCAAATACTTATTTCCCTTTTCCCATTTTTGACATGCGTTTTTCTGGATTTTTTGTTGTTATTCTGTCTCTCACTGTTCAAATAAACCTACCATTAAAATTATAGACTGATCATGTCTTTGTCAGTGGGCAAATGTACAAAATCAGCAGGGGATCAAATACTTTTTTCCCTCACTGTACATAGGAGTGGTTAAAACATGCTATTAACGGTCCTCTGAGTATATCACAAAAGGTTTGGTATACCTCGACTGGTATGCCATCCGACCCTGGAGTTTTCCCGGACTTAAAGTCTTTAATTGCATCCAGAAGTTCCTCCTCTGTAATTTCACCTTCACATGAGTCTTTCTGTATGGCTGTTAATTTTACATTATCAATTTTTTAAAAATCCATACAATTAGCTTCAGTTAGAGGAGATGGAGGCGCTGAAACGAAAACATATGCTTAAAGTACTTTGCTTCCTCCTTCAAAATATAATTTGGTGAATCATGGGTGACTCCATCATTTGTAACCAGTTTGAGTAAATTATTTTTGGTAGCATATCTATGTTGAAGATTAAAAAATAATTTGGTGCATTCTTCCGCATATTCCATCCAGTTTGCTTTATTTTTATAATATATTACACTTGATCTTTCTTGAATAAGTTTCTCCATTTATTTTTGTTTTTCCTCTAATTTATTCTGAGCCTCTATGTTACAGTTTTTATTGCTATCTATCTGTTCTGTTAGACCTTCTATTTCCTTTGTTAGTATGGACTCTTTTGACCTAAATTGCTTTTGTTTTCGAGATGAGTACTGAATTGCATGGCCTCTAAAGGCACATTTAAAAGTGTCCCATACAACAAGGGGATTTGCTGTACCTATGTTATGTCAGAAAAAAATCAGTTATAAATTCCTCTGTCCTAGTTAAAAACAAGTTATCTTCCAATAGGCTTTGATTAAATTTCCAATATCTTCGCCCACGTGGAAATTCAGTAAGAGTAATGTATATGCCTATTATATGATGGTCCGACCACATTCTGTCCCCTATCAACACATTTGAAACTTTTGGTACCGACGAGAATGACATAAGAAAGAAGTCAAGACGACTAGCTTGATTGAGTCTCTGCCATGTATATCTCACTAGGTCAGGATGTTTAAGCCTCCATATATCTACTAATTCTAATGTATCCATGACATTCATGATTTCCTTAAGAGCATGAGGGTGATAGTGTGTAGTGTGATTTCCTTTACGGTCCATTGAGCTACTTAAAACAGTATTATAATCTCCCACCATAATAATAGAGTCTTGTATCGCTTGCAGGGTTGATAATTTATTATATATCTATTGTCAAAGAAGTGTGGATCATCATTGTTTGGTCTGTAAAGGTTAAATGAGCCATATCTGTTTATGGTCCAATAACATATTTAAAATCATCCATCTACCTTGTGGATCTGTTTGGACAATTTGCACATTTGGATCAAAATTACTGTTAATTAATATCAACACCCCTTTTGAGTTTCTTTGCCCATGGGAGAAGTATATCCTTCTCTTTGAGCCATGTAAATATTGTTCTTCTTTTGTTATTATCTGCTAAGCCATTACAATTATAACTGGCTATACATATTTCACCACTTACCATAATGAGATACAGGTTTAAAATCTATTTATCATAATATATGTTTGTAAATTTACCCAATAAAAAATACCATAGTGATTGAGTGTCCATATAGCTGTACCATGATATTTGCATTGCTACTAAGTAACCCTCAAATTGTTCTCCAATATTCCCCCCGCTAAAGCCCCTCCCCATCCCAAGTTGGGTTGTCATCCCAGTGATCGGCATACCACCCCCGTCCCTCCGGATCCTTAGGCCCCCCGAGAGGCCAGGACCCATCCTTCGAAAACAGCACACAGTGCCACCCACAAAACAGAAGCAGGTCAACCGCCAAAAGCATTTCCAATGCTCTCACCTCAATATACAGTTGAAGTCGGAAGTTTACAAACACTTAGGTTGGAGTCATTAAAACTAGTTTTCCACAAATGTATTGTTATAAGCTATAGTTTTGGCAAGTCGGCTAGGACATCTACGTTGTGCATGACACAAGTAATTTTTCCAACAATTGTTTACAGACAGATTATTTCACTTATAGTTCACTGTATCACAATTCCAGTGGGTCAGAAGTTTACATACACTAAGTTGACTGTGCCTTTAAACAGCTTGGAAAATTCCAGAAAATGATATCATGGCTTTAGAAGCTTCTGATAGGCTAATTGACATAATTTCAGTCAATTGGAGGTGTACCTGTGAATGTATTTCAAGGCCTACCTTCAAACTCAGTGCCTCTTTGCTTGACATCATGGGAAAATGCAAAGAAATCAGCCAAGACCTCAGAAAAAAAATTGTAGACCTCCACAAGTCTGGTTCATCCTTGGGAGCAATTTCCAAACGCCTGAAGGTACCACGTTCATCTGTACAAACAATAGTACGCAAGTATAAACACCATGGGACCACGCAGCCGTCATACTGCTCAGGAAGGAGACGCGTTCTGTCTCTTAGAGATTAACGTACTTTGGTGCGAAAAGTGCAAATCAATCCCAGAACAACAGCAAAGGACCTTGTGAAGATGCTGGAGGAAACAGGTACAAAAGTATCTATATCCACAGTAAAACGAGTCCTATATCGACATAACCTGAAAGGCGGCTCAGCAAGGAAGAAGCCACTGCTCCAAAACCGCCATAAAAAAGCCAGACTACGGTTTGCAACTGCACATGGGGACAAAGATCGTAGTTTTGGTGGAAATGTCCTCTGGTCTGATGAAACAAAAATAGAACTGTTTGACCATAATGACCATCGTTATGTTTGGAGGAAAAAGGGGGATGCTTGCAAGCTGAAGAACACCATCCCAACCGTGAAGCACGGGGGTGGCAGCATCATGCTGTGGGGGCGCTTTGCTGCAGGAGGGACTGGCGCACTTCACAAAATAGATGGCATCATGAGGAAGGAAAATTATGTGGATAGATTGAAGCAACATCTCAAGACATCAGTCAGGAAGTTAAAGATTGGTCGCAAATGGGTCTTCCAAATGGACAATGACCCCAAGCATACTTCCAAAGTTGTGGCAAAATGGCTTAAAGACAACAAAGTCAAGGTATTGGAGTGGCCATCACAAAGCCCTGACCTCAATCCTATAGAAAATGTGTGGGCAGAACTGAAAAAGCGTGTGCGAGCAATGAGGCCTACAAACCTGATTCAGTTACACCAGCTCTGTCAGGAGGAATGGGCCAAAATTCACCCAACTTATTGTGGAAGGCTATCCGAAACGTTTGATCCAAGTTAAACAATTTAAAGGCAATGGTACCAAATACTAATTGAGTGTATGTAAACTTCTGACCCACTGGGAATGTGAAGAAAGAAATAAAAGCTGAAATAAATCATTCTCTCTACTACTATTCTGACATTTTACATTCTTAAAATAAAGTGGTGATCCTAACTGACCTAAGACAGGGAATTTTTACTAGGATTAAATGTCAGGAATGGTGAAAAACTGAGTTTAAATGTATTTGGCTCAGGAGTTTGTAAACTTCCGACTTCAACTGTATCTATTCAAATATCTTGCATATCTTAATTTCCATCATTATCAATTAATATGCGTAATAATGTTGGCAGTTCATGTAAAGGATTGTTACCTATAACCCGGATTGCCATTGTATTACATTACAATTCCATTCCTTACTAGATTTGTGTGTATTGAGTATATGTTGTGAAATTGTTAGATATTACTTGTTAGATATTACTGCACTGTCGGAGCTAGAAGCACAAGCATTTCTCTACACCCACAATAACACCTGCTAAACACGTGTATGTGACAAATAAAATTAGATTTTTGTCAAGCAATTATTATTTTAGCAAACAATTATTGTGGATCATCCTATATTCGCCATAACATCCTTACCCCCTTGCAACAGATGTGGGATACACACACACACACGTACTCTAACACACTCAACCCCTTTCCTCCACAATCAACCATAAGCTCAGATGCTCAACGGTTGTTACATCCCAAAGCCCAACTCAAGAAAGGACCTGATTTACAAATGCATATACAGTTACAGCTGTTTGAGAAAGCATGCAAGATTGAGCAAAAATTGACCAAAATGTGAGATTTGATTAGCCTATGTCAAGTCCTAGGTGATGGAGATCAGATCCACCCTCTTCCCCTGAGACACAAACACTCTGGTCCCCCGTTGTAACCGTTTTTCCCAAGCATCTCCAAGCAGTCAGACCTTTGATTATTTTGTGCCACCAGGGCCACAATAATATGCCCCCTCTCTGATTGTCCGAGTGTGACCCCCTCCCCATGGGTTACTGCAGCCAGTGTTGCCAGCACTGCCACTACCTGGGTGGGGGTACCCCACCGGAATCCCCACCGGCTAGGTACAAGGTCGTCAATGTTCTCATTAGCAGCTTTGAGAATTTCCTTGTATATTATGCTCTCCCATCAGGGGGCTCTGGCTTTGTTGGACCAACCCTGCCAGGCAGGCTCAGAATCTTGTGGGGACGTTGCTGCTCTAGTAGGTCTCTGACCGCATTTATCTTTTTGGCTGCATATAGGTAACCTACAGCAGCCCCATAAAACAGATGGGGACTTCTTTTTGGTTGCTCAGATGGGTGTCTAGGATATAGGGTTGGGGACCGTTCCATCATGATAGGACAATAAAATAATAGATTAGATGGATACTTTATTTTAAAATGTATATCCCTCATCTGCACAAAATTGAAAGCTCTCTCTCACAACCCCTGCTCACAAACACACGTTGGTTCTGGGGTATAAAACAATTTCCTTTCTCACTCACTTAATGCCACACTTTTCCAAACACAAAAATGCACACCACACCTTCCATCACAATACATCCACACATACCCACATACTGTGCCTTCTATGTCTTCTGTTTGCTATGTTTTTATCTCCACTATGTTGAGTACTTGTGTTCTAATTAGTTATATTTGAAGATGTATTATTTCGCTTGTTATCCTTTCTTGTAATACCGTCTTATCCCTTTATAAAATACTATAAATGTGTTTTATTATTGCAATCCCTACCATGGCTAGTATTGGGTGTTCCATTATTCGACTCCTCTATTAGAACTTTCAGAATAGCCATGGAGTAGTCTTTGTGTCGCGGAACATTTGGTTGTCAATATACAGTTTATCAACTACGAGAGCAGCACATCTTTACAGCCCTAAGTCTTTACAGTACCTATACATTATACCCTAGTAATAGTACTGGTAAAGTATAGTACTTATAACTGTTATATATGTAAAATACTTCACTGAATGAATTATTGCTTGTGGGTAATTTCTTTATAACTCAAGTGGTGAAATGAGCCACATCAGATACAGAATAATGTAATCTCACTAACAGTTTGGCACAAAGGGACAATCAGTCTCACTCTAATATGCAGCCTCTCATCTCCCTCTGAGGTCCCAGCAGTGTGTTTCACAACTCTCCTTTCTGCTGATTGTCTGACAACATCCTGGGGTTGCCACGGACTCCAGGGATGCCCACATAGCCTACTACCCAGATCTGTCATATCTGATCTACCGAACTGTCGACAACGTCCACCAATCAAATTATGTAATATCTGATGATTCATTGGCTTGCGAGAAAAACATTTTAAGGTTAATTTCCCCCAAATTCTACATATTTTTCCATGGGGCGTAGAGAAAATGTTGCCGTTTTAAAGTAAGTCTGCTGCCATTCTACACAGTTTGCCATTGGGGTGGAGAAAAGATTTTCTAACTAATTTGTCGAACTAATTTAATGCAATTCTACTCATTTTGCCATGGGGCGAAGATAGAAATTAGCAGTTTTACAGCTAATTTTCTGCAAATCTACACATTTTGCCATAAGGTGGAGAGAAATGTTTGCGGTTTTAAAAATTATATCTGAGTGAGAGTGACTAACAGAATCAATATGGGCCTCCCAGTCAGTAATTCGACCATGATTACTACACGTTTAGATAGCTGGCTAGACTAATTGACCAATGGGGCGGCAGGTAGCTTAGTGGTTAAGAGCGTTGTGCCAGTAACCGAAAGGGCGCTGGTTCTAATCCCCGGGCCGACTGGGTGAAAAATCTGTCGATGTGCCCTTGAGCAAGGCACTTAACCCTAATTGCTCCTGTAAGTCGCTCTGGATAAGAGTGTCTGCTAAATGACTAAAAATCTAAAATGTTTTCGCTGACATGGGCTAATTGAGTTACCAACCAGGTTTCTATAAATAAAAAAATTGCACGTAAAGTACGTCGGATAAAAAATTTCACAACAGGCCTGATGGGAACAGCTAATTTGTTGGTAAACTTTCCAAATGTCGACCAAAACAAAATATGCTAGACATGACATCACATTATTATATCAATATTTGCGCATAAAAGCGTTTCCACTGCCATTTCTCGCATCATTAATTTTGCAGACACAAAAAGACCCCACCATGTGGAACGAACAAATGATCTGTCGGCATTTATAAAATTGTACTGAAACTTCCTGTTTCCATCACAGCTGTAATGATTTTTTGGTTAGTGACTGACATAACAAGAGAAAAACTGCTGATACACAACCAAATTTAGAAATTGCACCTTGTGTATTCAATTACAGTAAGTTGAGACCCCGACTGAGTTCCTTTTTTTCTTTTACAAAAACAAACTTTTGGGAACTGATCCGTGGGCCTAAAAAAGTGTTGCCAGTTGCCCATCCCTGATTTAAATAATTTATAGATTCCATTTGACTATAAAGAAATACACAGAGAAAGACAGACAGAGGGGGTGAGAATACACCATAGAATCAAAGAATCCTGAAACATTTTTCCCTGGCTGTAATAGGTTTTGTCAGTGACTAGTGACATGGTGCAGTAGAAGCTGCTCACTGACTTTAGCTTGAGGCATTTCTCTGGAAGCCTCAGGGGAGACTGGCCTTATCACTCCAAAGGATGCCACACTCAATTTATTCTCCTTTTGAACTCTCTTTCTTATTAATCTAGTAACTAATTTACCATCTGGTGATGTCACCAGGCAGGCCAAAACGCCATCCCACCAAAACAGGCTAACATTTCAGGCGGTCTTTTCAAACAGCTCTTACACTAAAAAGGCATTATCATTATTTTCACAATTTCACAGTATTATTCCAACCTCATAGTGTGGAAATATATATAAAACACGTTTTAGACTGCACTGGGCTTTAAAAAAAATAATTATACTGCACATAATTAATTACGCAGGCATTCAAGACTTTGTTTGACATTTACTTCCGCAATTTTAACATAAAGGTCTAGAATAAGAAAATAGATGCCTAGGAGTTCTGAAATGATGTGGGAATAGAATGCATGGTCATGTATAGAACATAATTTTACCAATACCTCTATGAGATATCTAATTCATTCTGTCCATCATATAAAAAAATTTTAAAAAATGAAGCCAAACATTGGGAGATGCCAGGGGAAATCTAGTAGTCAGACCCCTTGATTTATTCCACATTTTGTTAAAATACAGCCTTGTTCTAAAATGGATTAAATAGTTTTTTCCCCTCTCATCAATCTACACACAATACCCCATAATGACAAAGCAAAAATAGGTTTTTAGAAAATGTAGCAAATATATATATATATAAAAAAATATATATATATCACATTTACATAAGTATTCTGACCCTTTACTCAGTACTTTGTTGAAGCACCTTTGGCAGCAATTACAGCCTCGAGTTTTCTTGGGTATGACGCTACAAGCTTGGCAAACATGTATTGTAGTCCCCTGTAGCACAGTTGGTAGAGCATGGCGCTTGCAACGCCAGGGTTGTGGGTTAGTTTCCCATGGTGGGCCAGTATGAAAAAAAATTATGCACTCACTAACTGTAAGTCGCTCTGGATAAGAGCGTCTGCAAAATAACAAATAAATGTAAAATGTATTTGGGGAGTTTCTTCCATTCTTCTCAAGCTCTGTCAGGTTGGATGGGGAGCGTCGCTGCAGAGCTATTTTCAGGTCTCTCCAGAGATGTTGGATCGGGTTCAAGTCCGGGCTCTGGCTGGGCCACTCAAGGACATTCAACGACTTGTCCCGAAGCCGCTCCTGCGTTATCTTGGCTGTGTGCTTAGGGTCGTTGTCCTGTTGGAAGGTGAACCTTTGCCCCAGTCTGAGGTCCTGAGCGTTCTGGAACAGGTTTTCATCAAGGATCTCTCTGTACTTTGCTCCGTTCATCTTTCCCTCGATCCTGACTAGTCTCCCAGTCCCTGCCGCTGAAGAACATCCGCACAGCATGATGATGCCACCACCATGCTTCACCATAGGGATGGTGCCAGGTTTCCTACAGAAGTGACGCTTGGTATTCAGGCCAAAGAGTTCAATCTTGGTTTCATCAGACCAGAGAATCTTGTTTCTCATGGTCTGAGAGTCTTTAGGTGCCTTTTGGCAAGGAGTGGCTGAGGAGTGGCTTCCGCCTGGCCACTCTACCATAAAGGCCTGATTGGTGGAGTGCTGCAGAGATGGTTGTCCTTCTGGAAGGTTCTCCCATCTCCACAGAGGAACTCTGGAGCTCTGTCAGCGTGACCATTAGGTTCTTGGTCACCTCCCTGACCAAGGCCCTTCTCCCCCGAATGCACAGTTTGGCCAGGCGGCCAGCTCTAGGAAGAGTCTTGGTGGTTCCAAACTTCTTCCATTTAAGAATAATGGAGGCCACTGTGTTCTTGGGGACCTTCAATGCTGCAGATATTTTTTGGTACCCTTCCCCAGATCTGTGCCTCCACAAAATCCTGTCTCGGAGCTCTACGGACAATTCCTTCGACCTCATGGCTTGGTTTTTGCTCTGACATGCATTGTCAACTGTCTGACCTTATATAGACAGATGTGTGCCTTTCCAAATCATGTCCAATCAATTAAAAATACCACAGGCGGACTCAATTTAGTCCAATTTAGAATAGGGCTGTAACGAAACAAAATGTGGAAAAAGTCAAGGGGTCTGAATACTTTCCGAAGGCACTGTATGTGATCATATACAAATCTTCTTGCGGTCAATTTGCAGTCTACAAATTATTTATAATTATGTCCCGGTCAAACCATATTCTAAATAGTTATTACGTTTTATGCATGTTGCCATAGAAACTGTTAAAAGACACAGATGAGAAGTCATCTGTCTGTGTGCTGAATGGTTAATATTTGAAAAGTGTGTTTCCCTGGAGGCTTCCTGCCTGGGTCACTAGAGATTCCCTGACTAGGAACTCTAGTTACTATTGCCATGAAACATTCTACAAAAACGTATTCTTCCCTAACCCACCTCGACAGGCTTCTTAAACACATGTACAGACAGCTGGCAGCAGCCTGTTCTCTCTCCTAGGAGAATGGGAGGACACACTTAAGTGGCAACTAAAAGTACAACTTCTAACTTTCATTTAAAAATAGAACTTCCTAGATTAGCACTACCAACAACCTTTAGTTTGCTCAACTGTAATGCAACACTGATTTTAAATGGGATTTATGCAGCCCTGACATCATTGACAAGACATATAAATGCATTCCAGGAAAGGCATTAAACACTGTCTTAGCACTCCGACTCACTTCAAAGATTTAACTTTTTCAAAAACACTATAATCATAAGAGTGAGATGAGAGAAAGAAAATAGAATTGGGTCTGAATATGCAGAGCCGCAGCTGATGGTGTAGGCATAGGAGATGTGTAGTAGACCCATTAAAGTGTCACCTAGGTAACACACTACTGAGCTTACTGTGACTTGGAATGGAAAAACTTAAGATCAGCATTAAAAGAAAATTGTATACATTTATACAAGTCTACTCTGTAACATTTGTCAACATTATTAGATAATTTCCAATCAAGATTTAGTTTCTCCTCCATCAAGCTTCTGAAGTCTCTTCCCCATGCACCCCATGCATCTTTTGCCTGTTTTTATTCATCCATACACAGTCCCAGAGGAGGATATAAAGTGTAACTCAAAGGCCATGTCAAGGATTCAGTGGTTTTGTGGGCATTGGTTAAAACCATTTATCTGACTTACTTATCATTGTCAGACTTCCTCACCACTCAAATATGTGAATGCTGTCAGGCCCGTTTGAGTGATACCTATAACAGATTGTTGCCAGTGCTTTGGGGAATGACATTATTCACCCATCCCTCACATCTCCAGCATTTTGATTCATTTGCTCAGAGGCAACTCTTAACTTTTGTGCAAATGACTGATCGGTCAGTCTGGTAGGCATAGAAATCAATTACACTTCAAGCACAATACTCCTATGTATTGGGCAATAAATATTTTCCACACTGTTTAAATCCCTTGAATCACCTCTGTATAACACATATAGCTATTATTGATTAACTTCTCATCCAGTTCCATATTCACTTTGTACTGCAGCCTAGCTGACTTAAACATATTAAACATGCAGCTCATACTATTCCCGACACGCTGAGACTCCTCCTCAGTGAGAGAGCTCTGTATTTAATTAAGAAAATTAGGAAGCAGGCAGGGAGAGGATTTGCATTGGAAGAGTCTGCTATAGAGAGGAGTACTTGGAAAGTGGTTCGCTCCGGCGCAATGGTAACAACCAGCCTGAGTGTGGAAAGAGTGATAGCAGGCTCAGCCTCAAAGACAGAGACATGACCGTAGCAAACAGCGCTCTAACAGGCTTTTCAGCTCTCATGAATTCTGAACACAGAAAGAAACCCAGCACAGTGGAAGAACAGAGAGCCAAAAGACAATAATACAAGAACACGGCCGAACACCATGTCCACGGCTCAGTATCAAAACACAGCAACGTGAGTAAAAGTACAGGAGTAGAGAGTGGTGCAGAACTCTTTATTTTATTAATACTAGACATCTCTGGAGTTGTCATTTACACTTGGTGGGTTTGAGAAATAGAAAACCGAAGGTTGCTGTGCAATTTCCCCAGTGCAATATTAGTGGGAAGAGTACATTTTTTTAAATGTACAGTGAGAATTATCATATAGTATGATCATAACATATTTGATGATACCATGTGAAGTATCTTATCTATTCCATTTGATCAATTCCATTGATTAATGGTGTATGAAAATCATTTTCAAACTGCATTTCTACAAGATGAGCAAAAAGGATCAACAGCAGCAGCCAGTGTTTTTACTCATATTCATAAATATTCCTGTAAGAAGCAGCAGCCTTCACCTCGGCACTCTGTTGATGGTGTTACCATCGCCAGACAATCACTCCTGTGTGATTCATGGCCTATGTGCACCTCATTGGTCTGGATATTTGCTAGACATGTACTGGTGCTGTTCAAGAATAAAGGACATCCAGGGGCTGGGGGAACAGAGAGAGGGAAGAGAGAAGGGAGATTGTGAGATAAAGAGGGAGTGGGAAAAGAGAGGGAGGGAGGGAGAGAGAGGAAGGGAAAGAGAGGCCAGAGAGAGAAGAGGAGGGCAAGAGCGAGCGAGAGAGACTGTCCAAGCTACAGCGGCACAGCCTCATGGAGATGTCATGATTTTTTCAACCTGAAAAGCCCATCTGATCTTCCCAGAAGGCTGTCTCAGTGTGCCTCTGCAGCAATATCACTATTTCCCCACTGCAGCCGTCCTGAGCCATGCTCACTATTACATATGCACAGCAGACGTGTATGTTTGGTTCAGATTTGGTCTGGACAGGACCAAAAACAAATGTCTGTGGATGTGGAAATCAAGGCCGGTCTGGACTGCACCAAAAAAAGACATCCAAAAGGCTTCAGTCCATGCTTATTGACTACAGTGTTGCCTGAAATTGAATTTTATGGTGGTAGGCCTACCGTTTGGAAAATACACCGTTTGGAAAACACAAAAAGAGATTTTAAAAAAAAAAGACATCCAAAAGACGTCGGCTCGTGCTTACTGCGGTGTAGCCTAACATGTCAGACAATGGAATTCTATGAATGCCCATCCAT